GTAAATCAAATAATACACCAACGCGTAGAGACTATTAACACCAAAATGTCAACAAGGTGGATTTTTAATATAATTGTGATGATTTATTTGCTGAATAAAATATTTGGCGATTGTGGCGATTTTCAGGAACTTCAAAATGACAAGAATTAAACGGAACATGTGTATGAGGGTTATTTTAAAACAAGCTATATATGACAAATCGCAGCAACTTCGATTATAAAATTCGGTTAACAAAATAATAAAAAGAGATGGCGGGACTTTTATGTGGGTGTTAAATCGAACCTTGGGCAATTTTCCGTAACACACAAATTACAGACAAAAATTCTGATAAACCGTTCAAATACTAACAATTGGGCGCCATCCTTAAATGAACGCTATGTCAGACATAGACCTGTATTGATTAATGATTCTGCAAATTAAGGCTAAAACATTCTGGTTTGCATGGTGGACAGCTGATGTTCTTCCATGCCTGAACGGGTGGAGGAGAGTTCTATACCCCATATGAGGATTTGGGATGATTCTCTCTGAAGCATCCAAGAAGGTACTGCAACGGAAGCTTATTGCTATGCTGACGGATCTTCGTCTCCTTTCCCTGATGAAGTTCTCAGGTCTGAATACTCCCTGATGAAGTTCTCAGGTCTGAATACTTCTACATTTAGTAACAGTACAACAATACCTGCGCCCCAAGTACTGGTGGCAAGCGACTTAAGACCCTTGTTCCTACTTTTCAACTTATCGAAGATGCTATCGAATGTGACTCCAAGAATTTTGGTTAATTGGTAGTCGAAGTTGTATGTCCCTCGATCTGCATATTCAATTCATCTCCGTAGTTCAAGTGGTGAACAATGTGACCGAAGATTTCTAGGCGTATATTTTCATATTCCTCGTGTGAAAATCGTAGAGATAGACGTTCAATGTTATCATCTACATGCGCAACTGTCTCAATGTCGACTGGGAGGTCGTAGACTACCGAAAAGGTAGAGGTGGAATACCTTCGGAGATGTCACAATGCGGAACTCCATGCGTCATTTTACTTCTGGCGTCCACACATGCAATCGATTGTTCAACGTTTCAATTTGGCAGGTATTCCTGATGCCCTATATCTGTGATCGACGGTACGAAATGTCAAGCGCTACCAACACTGTTCTGTGACACAGTAGGTTCTGGTTTAGTCCTAAACTCATACATACTCATGTCTGTGGAGATGGCGTGCAACATTCATGTTATGCTATGGTGCTTATGGAAGCCATGCTTATGATCCGCAACTTGAGAGCTTTGCACAGCTTTCCCTACTGCTGCGTATGAGTAATGCCTCAAGAATCTTCGCTACTGGTGGAAAAAGTGAGATCGGCCAGTAAAATTCAACTTTGCTGGCATTCTTGCCTGACTTTATTAGCGAGACCACCATGCGAGATTTTCCTATTATTAAGAAAATGTGTCGTTCAGAGGATATGGAATCAGGACTATTGATAGAGTCAATAATGGTTTAGGTGGTCTGATTTCATTGAAATGACGGGATCGGTTTTTGAAACCGGGATATATCTAGCGAACTGTGACGCTTTCCCCTTATTTGGTGGCAGTATCCTCATTTACCATGCAAAACGTAAAACAATAAATTTGCTCTACCAGCGTTGTTCCCCTCTGATCATTACCTAGGACGGAATACCGCAATTCATGCCCCTGGTACCAGACAGTTATTGTCCTCAATTGGAAAGCTAATGTTAACAAAATTACGCACTTCATAGCTATACTACATATAACTGTTACCCCCATACGGGTAACTAGAGTCTAACTCAAGCGTGGTAGGTATGTAGTGGTGAATAAAGAAATGATAAGCCCCCACCTCCACTTTTGTTGCGATTCTTCCTCAGAACGTTGTGAACGTCTGCACCGCCGCGATCAATACTTCAATTCCAATTCATAAATTCCACTATCTTAACTTTTTCACCCTCGAAGGCCGTTCCTATTGAATTGCAGAAAAGATGCAGAATCAGGAATTGCAACTTTAAATGCTGCATATTGGGTAGCTGTTGAGGAGACTGAGGGCGATGTTGTGAGCGATGACTCGCTGGGAAGTGCGCTGTAGCAGTACGAGGCAACGGATCCCTTTCATTGTAATCTCGGAATTGGGCCAAACTGGAAGTGCATCTACTCTCTACACCACAGTCGGGCGAACCACCGCACGTGTGCACTCTCGCGAGAGTAAATATCACAATTCTCTCACACACATTCAACTGAACCAATTGAAAAACCATTGACACACACACACAAAGACAAGTGCGTGAGAACAGAATTTTTTACGCTCTGCCCGTGCCTGCTCTACACCTATTTTATCTCCTATTTTATCTACCAAAAATTAACAATATCGGTCTAAGTTTTGGTATGGGTCGGTACCGCCCCATTTTCGGGTTTTACAGGTATTAACCGCACTTTTTAAACCCATATGATGGTATACCCAAATATTAGGTATTTCAATAGAATTGGCTGTAATGTAGGAGTCAGAAATGTCCCTGCCGAAAATGGTCAATATTGGTATATTTTTCAAGATATAACCCCATAAAGCGGTACCTCCTATTATTAAGAAATTTGTGGAGTTTGGGCACGTTTTATAATCGAATTGGCTGTAATTTGGTATTCAGAGTTATCATAGGCAAGTAAATCTCCCCACCAAAAATTGTCGATATCGGTCTACTTTTTAGGATAGCTTCCATACAACGGTACCCCAAATATCAGGTTTTTTTTTGGGAGGTATGGGAACGTTTTTTCACCGAATTGGCTGTAATTTGGCATTTGAGATTCTCATTGGGTAACATATCTCTCTACAAAAAATTTTCGATATCGGTCTACTTTTTAGCATATATAAGATTACATCCCAAATTTCGGTTTTATTTATTATTCCGTATTTTGGGGAGTTTGGGCTCGTTTTTCAAACGATTTGACTCTAATTTGTTTTTTTTTTTTGCTCATAGGGTGTCGAATCTTCCTACCAAAAATATCAATATCGCCTTAAATTTTGGTATAGCTGCCATATAACGATACCAATCCATTTTCGGTATTTTGAAGGCTTTGATGGCATTTTCCCATTTGGTATAAAATAATTTTTGGACCGACTTACATATATATAGAAAAATTTTCAATATATGTCCATGTTTTATTAACTCTTTCAGTATTTTTGTCGAATATATTCTACATTTAAAATTACTCTCTTCCTTTGCAATTTTTCGGTTATTCTATGTACCGTTACAATTGATGTCTTTGTTTTTGCCGAAAGACAGACAAAACTGTCCGAGGGTTAAAATAATATTTGCTTTTTTCTAAACTCTGTACCTTCATATGATTTTAAGCACAAAATTTTGGATTTTTATTCCGACCAAATTGTCAGGATTTTAAATTTTTTTATGTGCATTCTTCCATTTTATTGGCTGTAATGTGGTATTCAGAGATACATTTTCGGAGGCACATTTTTTGCCGGCAATTTTCTATAACGGTCCATTTTTATAATGTCTGTCTCCCATCTCTGATAGGATTTCTGTTTTTTTTTGGCGATTTAAACGTAAACGAAATGTTGGCAGCATCAATACAATCTCACCATATGCCACCCACTATCACTGTTACTATCAACATATGTAACATTCTCTTTCTCATTCTCTCTTTTCCTTTCGCTCTCCATTAGTCTCTCCCTTTACCCAACAAACCAACCATGCAGTTAACATTAAGAGCTTCGCGTTGAAGTCGTTGATGTTAACGAAGTTAACAAGCAGTCGTCGTTGATGGTAATGATGATAATAATGATGTTTGTGTGGATGTGTGTGTTGGTTGGTGGGAGGGAGAAGGGGTGTGGGGGGAAGAAGGTTAAGTGTTGTGTGTGTGTTTTGTTGTTGTTTTTTTGTTCTTTGTGGGGATGTTTTTTGTTTGCCAGGAATACTACTATAACACAAATACTACCAGTAACAACAACAAAAACAACGACAACTAGTTGGAGAGTAGCTTTTTGTGGAAAGTTTACGCACAGACTCTCATTCAAGGTAGTTGTTTTTCTGTTTCGTTCTTCTTCTTCTTCAAATATCCCTGTGCTTAGCTCCGGCTGTGTGTGAGTGTGTGCGCGCCACACAGAGAGAGTTTGTGTGTGTGTGTGCTTCGCTGTGAGTAAATGAATGAGTGAGTGTTTGACATTAGGCCAGCCGTAGGAAGGAAGAACTAAACTTAACCAATTTTTTGAAGTTATACACACGGAAAATTGCAACCATTCATTTTTTTCACTTCGGCAAAGTTAAACGTGAAAATTTTCAGCAGTAGCCAAACGAAGGAAAAAATAAAAAAAAACGGAAAATAGAAAAAAATAAAATAAAAACGGTTTGAAGAGAAAAAAAATAGCAAGAAACAAACGTATACAGGATTTTTTTATGGGGAAAATTAAGAAAAGAATTTATTATAAATTTGGAAAGAAAAAGAATTGAATAAAAAACCAAATAAAGCAATATCTTGAAAATTTGATTTGAAAAAGAAAATAAGCTAGAAAATCTAATCGCAAAGGTGGAGAAGTGTAAAAGAAAAATTGTGTGTCCATTTAAAGTTGTGGTTACTTTTGAGCAAAAAAAAATGTATAATTAAAGAAAAGTGGAAAAAAAATGAATTAAAAAAAATTAAAATTAAATGTTGAATCCAAAAGAGAAAAAATTTAAAATTTACTGCCCAAAAGAAATAGAAAAAAAGTAACTGTTGAATATTTCCCTAGGAGGGTGTGAGAATATTAACCTAGTGTATGTGTGTCTCCTCCCAACCCCATTTAAAATCAGTGATAATTAAAACCAAAGAATAAAATTGAAAAAAAAAAATTGTAAAGTGTAAAAAAAAACAAAAAAAAAAAAAAAAACGTTCAAAGGCCATTGTTGTCATTATCATCATCATTGCCATCAAACCATCCTCAATTGACAGCCGTCAATTGCTGTTGCTGCTTTTGTTGCCGTTGTTGTATACCAAGGAAATTTTTTTGCTCAGAGGCTTAGGCCAACACCGTGGATAAACATGAAACCTTCAGAGCTGTTAGGCGTTTTGGAAAGGGTAATTAGATACCAAACATTTTTTTATTATTAATACAAAAAAAAAAAACAACAAAGAAAAATAATAAAAATAAAAACAACAACTAAACAAGGCAATAAAAAAAAATACAACCCTGCCTGCATTTTTTTTTCAAAATAAACCTTGTTTTGGGTTATTTAAAAAATTTATTAATAATACGTGTGTGTATGTATGTGTGTGTATATGCCAAATTTAGCTTCATTAATGGCTATCCTTACACACACACACACATACATACACACATTTTAATAAAATGAAAGTCCTCTGCTTTGTATCTCTTGTGTCTCCTTTTTCCCGAAATCAACAATTTTTTTGAGGGGGAATGGGAAAGAGGGGATGGAGGGGGATAGAAACATTTCATTAAAAACCTTGTAGCTGCTTGTTTTCTCTTCATTTTCATGTGGCTCTCTTTTCGACACGCTCTCTTGTGATAGTATCCAAAAAAAAGTGAAACAAAAATACGTCTCAAAATTATCCCACCAGGCTATTGGCTTCTCGAAAATAGCAACGGAATTTCATAGCCCTCATCATTATCATCAGCATATTTAATGGTGTTCAGGTTCTATTTTTCTTTGAATGAAGTCAAAAATAGTTACAAAAAAAAAAAGGAAAAATGTCATTAACTTCGGAGGGGCCGAACTTTTTATACCCAACACCATGAGTTGGACATTGCAGGACCATTAGAAATGGCGCCTTATTCCACGGTAAATTTTTGATAGGCAAACTTGGCACCCAACCAGAACCAAATTGGATGTAATTTAACAAAAAATTTGCAAAAAATCCGCAAAGCACCGAATATTTTGGGGTACTATTGTAAGGGGGCTATCGTAAAACAAATTGAAAATTTCTGGTATGTAGATTTTCTAACCAAGTTGAACACAAAATACCAAATTCCAACCAATTCGATTAGAAAACGTGTCAAAAATCCGCAAAATACCGAATATTTGGTGGTACCGTTATATTAAAAAGTCGACCGATTTCGATCATATTTGGTGGGAAGATGTACTACCTAATGAGAACCCAAAATACCAAATTAAAGACAATTCGATTAACAAATGTGCCTAAAATCGCAATATATCGAAATTCGGAGGGTACTGTTATATGGGGGCTATATCAAAACGTGCACCGATATTGATAATTTTTGGTATGGAGATTTGCTACCCAATGAGAACCCAAAATACCAAATTGCAGACAATTCGATTTAAAAATGTGCAAAAAATCGCAATATATCGAAATTCAGAGGCTACTCTTATATGGGGCCTATCCTAAAGTGAAGACCGATAGCTTTAATTTTTGGCACGGAGATTTGCTACCTAATAAGAAAACTAAATACCAAATTATAGCCAATTCGATTAACAAATGTGCCAAAAATTCTCAAAATAGCGAAAATCGAAAGGTGTCGTTATATGGAGGCTATCCTAAAAAGCTGATCGATATGGATAATTTTTGGTAGACAGATCTGCTGCCTAATGAAAACCCAAAATACCAAATTACAGGCAAATCGATTAAAGAACGTACCAAAAATCCTCATAATACTGGAAATCGGAAGGTACCGTTGTATGGGGGCTATCCTAAAAAGTATACCGATTTTAATAATTTTTGGTATGGGGATTTACTATCCAATGAGAACCCAAAATACCAAATTACAGCCAATTCGCTTAAAAAATGTGCCAAAAACTCTCAAAATACCGAAATTCGGAGAGTACCGTTATATGGGGCCTATACTAAAAAGTCGACCGATTTCGTTAATTTTTGGTAGGAAGATGTATTACCCAATGAGAACCCAAAATACCAAATTACAGTCCATTCGGTTAAGAAACGTGGCTAAAATCGCAATATATCGAAATTCGAAGGGTACTATTATGTGGGCGCTATCCGAAAATTCAATTGAAAATAATGCAAAAATCCGCAAAATACCGAATATTTGGTTGTACCCTTATATGGGAACTATCTCAAAAAGTTGACCGATGGTTGTTGTTGTAGCAGTTTATATGAATTGTATGTTTTCTGTTAAGTTTCCTCCAGTTCTGTTTCCAGATTTAGAAATGCAGCTACCTCCACGGGCTGTAACCACAGATCTTCCGGAGTGAGGTGAGTAGGTTTGGCTGGGCAATTGAACAAGTGCAGTGTGGTATGAGGGCCTGTACCACATGCTGGGCAGACATCCTACACCTGGTCATCAATCTGTGCCCAATACGAATTTTGCCGACTGCACCATCCAGAACGTAACTGAGCCAAAACTACTCTCGGTTTGTCTGGGCAGCTGACGTTCTTCAGCTGCTATGGGTGGGGGGTGAGCTCCGAGGACGGCATTCACTTTGTAACCGTTCAGCGCTGCGGCTACTGCATCTGTATGAATGCCATTCAGACCTGCTCGATAGGCAACTTGATCTAGAGGCTCCCTTTTTTATCGTTGGACCTCTCTCTCTAAATCATGCAGATCCTTCCTGGCACGCCTGGGTAGGGGAGTCCTATCCACCATATAATGGTTGGGATGATCGTCCCTGAAACACCCGAGCAGGTACTGCAACGAAAGCATATTGCTATGCTGACGTACGGGAAGGATCTTCGTCTCCTCATGAAGATGGTCCACTGGTGTCATGAGGAGGCACCCTGTCGCTGTCCTCAGGGCGGCATTCTGACAGGTATGAATATTTCTCCATTGCGTATCACTGGAATTCGCAGACCACACTGGAACCGCATAGCTAGCCACAGACCGACCTATCGCTTTGTAAGAGGTCAACAAGGTTTCCTTATCTGCGCCCCAAGTGCTGCCAGCAAGCGACTTGAGGACTTTGTTCCTACTTTTCAGCTTATCGCAGATAGCTGTGGTTTGCGCGGGCGATTTGAACATGCTGTCGAATGTGACCCCGAATATTTTGGGGTAGTTGGTGGTCGGAATTGTATGCCCCTCGACCTGCACATTCAACGGCATTCTCATCTCCGCAGTCCATGTGGTGAATAGTGTGGCTGACGACTTCGATGCGGATATTTTCATATTCCTCGCTTTGAAGAAGGCTGCTAAATGGATGAGATAGGCGTTCAACCTCACACACATGTCTTCAACAATGAGACCCGAGGTCATAATCGTAAAATCATCTGCATACGTAACGATTTCAATGCCGTCCGGAGGGCGTGGAATACCGGAAAGGTAGAGGTTAAACAGTTCCGGAGAAATCACTCCACCCTGGGGAACTTCCTGTTTAACTTCTTGTTCCGGAACTCCACGTACGACTGGCGTCCACACATATAGTTGATTATCCAACGTTTCAAACTCGGCCAGAGGGAAGTGTTCTCTATGTTCTCAAACAGCGTGTCATGGTTGACAATCATCTGCATACCAAAGGCTTTTGATAGGTCAAGCGCTACCAACACTGTTCTATCGCACGGCCGGTTCTGGTTAAGTCCTCTACTTATATGCGTGCAAATGGCGTGCAACGCTGTTGTTGTACTGTGTTGCTTACGGAATCCATGTTGATGATCCGCAACTGGATAGCTTTCTCTAATGCTGGGGAGGAGTAAAGCCTCAAGGGTCTTCGCTACTGGCGACAAAAGTGAAATCGGCCTGTCCGATTCACCTTTGCTGGCATCCTTGCCCGGCTTCAGTAGCGGGACCACCCTGCCCATAGGTTCCAAAAATCCGCAAAATATCGAATATTTGGGGGTAAAGTTATATGCGGACTATACTAAAAAGTCAACTAATTTCGGTAATTTTTGGTATTGAGATTTGCTAGCCAATGAGAACCCAAAATACCAAATTACAGTCCATTCGGTTAAAAAACGTGCCACAAATGCGCAAATATCGAAAATATCTGAGGGTACCTTTGTATGGGGGTTATCCGAGAAAGTAGACCAATTTCCATAATTTTTGGTATGGAGATTTGCTAGTCAAATAAGAAACCTAAATACGAAATTATAGCCAATTCGCTTAACAAATGTGCCAAAAATTCTCTAAATACCGAAAATCGGAAGGTGTCGTTATATGGGAGCTACACTAAAAAATAGACCTATATTGATAATTTTTGGTAGGAAGATGTATTACCCAGTGAGAACTCAAAATACAAAATTGCAACCAATTTGCTTAAAAAACTAGCCAAAAATCTGCAAAATATCGAAATTCGGAGGGTACCGTTATATGGTTGCTATCTTCAAAAGTCCACCGATTTTGATAATTTTTGGTATGGAGATTTAATATCCAATGAGAACCCAAAATACCAAATTACAGCCAAATCGCTTAAATAGTGTTCAAAAAATCAGCAAAATACTGAAATTCGGAGGGTACCGTTATATGGGGGCTATCCGATGATGTAGACAAATTTCGATAATTAATATTTTTTTTCTGAGAGAATTCTTAAGCCAGTGGAAACCCAAAATACCAAATTACAGCTGATTAAGTTGAAAAATATGCCCAAGCTCCCCAAAATACCGAATAATGGGGTGTTCCGTTCTATGGGGACTATCATAAAAAATAGAGCGATATCGATAATTTTTGATTTGGGAGATTTGCTACCCAATGGGAACCCAAATTACTTATTTACAGCCAATTCGGTTGAAAAACGTGTCAAAAATTCGCAAAATATCGAAATTCGGAGGGTAGGGTTATATGGGGGATATTCTAAAAAGTAGAAAAAAAATCGATAATTTTTGGTATGAGTGTTTTCTACCCAATGAGAACTTAAAATAATAAATTACAGCCAATTCGGTTGAAAAACGTGCCCACCATCCCAAAAATATCGAATATTAAGGGGTTCCCTTGTATGGGGGCTACCCCGAAACATGGGCCAATATTAGTAATTTTTTGTGAGAGCATTCTCTAGCCAGTGAGAACCCAAAATACCAAATTACAGCTGATTAAGTTGAAAAATATGCCCAAGCTCCCCAAAATACCGAATAATGGGGTGGACCGTTATATGGGGACTATCATAAAAAATAGAGCGATATCGATAATTTTTGATTTGGGAGATTTTTTACCCAGTGGGAAC